CTCATTTACCCTCTACCCCTTTGCAATCATGTTGACATAAGATGGCTTGGAGCAAAGAATGTTTGCTTTTGACAAGTGCATGCAAAGCTGATCATCAAGGTAAAATCAACCTTAGGTAGCAATGGAGCAACATAGTGAGAAAAAATATGTGCTTAGGAGGCCAAGCTTATGTCCACTTACTAATGCGCGTGCCACCCATTAATATATTATCACTATGTGCATGGCTTACTGCTAGGAGATATAATTATGTTTTATAGGAGATAATAATTTTTAATTGCAGTTAGCAGGAGGAAATGGTATAAAAACTAGTTGATGCATTGCGCTTTGCTGTGGAATACATGTTTTCTAGTGGCTGATGATATGGTATTCTTGTTGTTAATCTTTAGGAGCTAATAATTGCTAGTGGTTTAGTGGTTGATGATGTGGTATGTACCACATATATTTGAATGTTAAGCTTTACTTGCTAGGTTCTAACTATATGTTGTAGATATATGATTAACTACGTGGATGGTTTTTTTCTTCTTGACCGCAATTTTTGAGGGTTTAGGGTTTAGAGGCAATATTAAAATAGCTTTCAAGTGAAAAGCCTAAAGCCTAAACCTAAAAAAAATCCATGGCTTAATGCTACACAGAAAATGATTTAATGTACGGAACCAGTTAAAAAATCATGATTTCTATAGGTGGATTTTGTAAAAATGGGGTGTTTTTTTAATATATGGTTTTGTTGAGGAAAATACATGTAAAAATTGATTTTCTTAGACGGTTCTCTTAAGGAACCGCCATAGAAAATAGGAGCAATAGTATCTTCAGAAACCGTAATTTTCTTGGCATTCAAAAACAGCCAAGTACTAGTTAGGTGCCCGTGCGTTGCAACGGGAAAAAATAATACATTAATTTAACATCACGACGGCGTATCTAAATAAATTCTCACTCTCCACATGCATAAAAAAGTAATGATCAATGTCCTATGTTCAGTTACTTACTACTCATACATGGTTAATTAAGGTTCTAATACTTGATTTTGGTCATTATAAATTAATAACCATGGTATTTCACTGGTCTATTTTAATTGTATTTCATTGGCTTTACAAAATACTAATAGCTAGCCACCATGATACATCTATATATATCCATGAAATTAAGTTTATCTGGCTAGCACAAATGAGCTAGCATGCTCCAAATATTAACCTATACACAAAAATATGTGTCACACATGTGCTGATGTGATACTACGGTTGCCATAGGAAAAACAAATAGCCCGTGTTACATTATAAGTCACAGTAAACACATAAGCAGAAAGTTCATTACATTTTCCCACAATATATATGTATATACCATACAATGTTGTATCCTTGTTCTATCATGCTAATCACATCCCTGGAAAAGAAAAATCTTAACTTATGGCATAATATTCAACAAATAAAGTAACAAAACTACATTATTGTCATTCAGAAATAAAATCAGTTAAGGTAAAAAGGGAAAAAATGTGCAATATTCATCCATCAAGGGGTTGCTGCAAGACCAACAGAAAAAGAAAAAAGAAAGCCTCTGAGCTCAGACAAGCAAGAGTGCAAGACCAACATAAACTATATTTTTCACAGAGTACACGTTACCTCTACACCTCTTCCATTCTCTTCTCACTCAGTGCATCTTACCTCCTACAAGATCAAGAAAAAAATAAGAAGCAGGGTGCACATTTTTCTAGAGATCAGGTAAATTTCCTTACCTGGCCTTTTAGAGAAAGCTAAAACAAGCCTTACAGATGTTCAAAAGGAATTCGCAAAACGGGCAACGTAGTGCTATTACATAGAAAGTAAAATGCTGGGGACTCCAGCTTGCTAATCAACCCCTGAATATGTAAACTCCAACACATCCCAGCATCAGACAACAAACTCGAAGCCATCAGAAACAAAAAGCATAAATTCAAAAGCACTCCATCTAAAACATCTAATGGGACAGAACAGGTAAACAGTAGGGAGCAAAACGAGAAAAATTTCGCAGCATCCCAGATCATCAAGCGAGTTCCATGTCAAAGTTATAGTTTTGTTATCAGTTCTACTCTCCATCTATCCATAGTGGCATAGTCTTATCCTTTTTGAAGCAACCTCCAGTGTTTCTGAAAGGATAAGGCCTTGTATAGCATCTGAATAGGATATTCAATTAATACATATATATTTAAAAACCTGGTCATTTAGAGCCAATCATAAAGTCCAGCACAGCCCAACCATCACAACTATCAAAAGTCTAGATTTACATTTGTTTTTCAAGATGTTAAAAAGAATAGATAGTGGGAAACTCTACATAGGATCTGTTGGCTTGTTTACCACCTCACTTGAAACAAAAACAAATCTATCTAATGTGAATTTGTACCCTAACCAAAACCTTGCAAAGTTCTCACAGAAAACACAAAAAAACTGAAACTCCTTTCCAGCCATAGTAAACATGATTTTTTTTTTAATTTTATTTTTCCAATTTGGAGCTTGCAAACAAACCATTGTAAACATTAGGAATTCTTAAAGATGCGCAACAGTTGATAACAAAAAATGCTATTATGCATATCTAAGGGTAGTAGAACACTTTTTTTTTTCGTGAATATAAAAGGATTGATCTACAAATCTACAAATTCATGTGTCTCAGACTCTCAGTCATGTAGTGTGCCAGATTTCCTTAGTGATTAAAGCTTTAAAGTGCGATCAAAGTAGGAAATCACATTCTTTCATACTACACATGTACATACAATACCTGTTCATTTCAAATTTTGAATTCTCAAACAGAATAAGACAATTTAAAACAGTTCAGGAATCGTTAAATTCAACACAAAGGTCTGATCATCCACAATATCGTACTAAATTAAAAGGGTTGTGAGCATATGATACTTACACACAAGGATCTTGTATTGCTTAGATCAAAACTCAACCTGTCTTTGATCTGCCTCAATAGTTGGAATATTCTGAAATGAACAGGTATTAAATAATGTATCCGACCAAATCGACCATTATAAACAATTATCAACTGAATGTAATAATTGCATTTGAAATAAGTAGAATTATGCTATGAATTATATGAAGAATAGTTATCAAAGTTAATTTTAAGATTACTTCTGCAACAGTTCTTTACAGTATGCGAATTGAGAATATCTCACAAAGGGAACGGTATCATATATCATATATGGCACTGTGATTAAATCTTCATTGCCCAGTCATTTTTCAAAGAAATTCAGTCACAGGATGCAATCTGTCCAACTTACATTTTTTTTCGGATTTGTAAATCTACCTCTCTGATTTGCATTAACATTCGTTGTACCATGTCAGCAAAAATATATATTATAAAGACTGCTTGTCCATGAATCCAAAAAAAAACATTGCACAAAGAAATTTTTTTTTGGTTAGCAGATTGGTGTCTGAACAATTTGTATTAATCGTGAAGTAATTTTTTTTGTTAGCAGATTTGTACAAAGCATAGAACATACCTATGCTTGATGTCCGGTTGCAAGAACAAATTGACACTGACAACGAGGATGGACTAAGGGGATCGACTGATCTGATCAGTGAGAATGGTCGAAGCCGAACTCCTTGTGGACACCGCATTTGCAGGTCACGCACACCACCAAGTTGCCACCAGCGAGGTCAGCCTAGGCCCCTTTCTCTCCGCGCTCGAGAACTCAACCTCTTGCTCCTGAAAGGTACAAAATGTTCAGTCGAACCAAACGGTGCAAGTCTACAACTATCAATACTAAAGAAGGATCTTCTGATGTTACCAAGTAAAATACTAGATGGAGTGGCGACGGGGTCCGGCTGAGGGATGAAGGGCAACTGGAATGCGGGGGATGGACGGTGGCCAGGATGTGCAGCAGCACTGGTATGGGGTTGATTGTGGCGGTTAGGGGAACCAGCGGCCAGCGATCTCCGACGGGCAGGGGGCGACGGGCGGATGGCCGATGAGGTTGGAAGGGGAGGCGACAGGCGATTGTTAGGGGAGGGATGAGAGCGCGGGGCGGTTAGGGGAATCGGCGGCCGGCGAGGTTGGAAGGGGAGGGATTAGGGCGGCGGTTAGCGGATGGGCGGACGGGCAGCGTGGGCACGATGGGTGGAGGGGCGTCGCAGGAGGAGATCAGCGTGATGGGCGGCGTGATGGGTGGAGGGGCGGCGTGGATCGGCGCGATGCGTGGAGGGGCGTCTTGGAGGAGATGGGCACGATGGGTGGCGTGATGGGTGGAGGCGCGTAAGCAGTGGTGGCAGCGGCGAAGGCCGAAGGGGCAATGTAGGGTTGGAACTTGGAAGGGGGTCGTGAGGGAGGGTGGCGATGGCAGTCTACCGCGGGCGATCTCTGTGCACGATGGCCCATTGGATTATGACGATCTGATGGTTGAAATTATACGTGTCTGTCAGATGCGTCTCTTATGTCAGGAATCAAAACCACCACTACAGATTTTTTTTAAGTAGTAGATAGATATAGCGTGAAAACAACCAAGGTTCATTATTCCGTTGGTTGACCGCCAAGTCTAGAAAGCCAGAAATATTCAGATTTCTTGGCTGCTAACTGTAAGGAAATGTTTTCTTAGCGGTCAGACCGTCAAGCAAATTAAGAAGATTGTGAACTTTCTAAAGCACCAAGAAATGCAACCTTGTCAGTCTGGACCGACAAGAATATATATTTTCTTGGATGCTGAGAAACCGCCAAGAAAATTACTTATTTTTAACAGTTAAAACTGCCAAGGAAATTACTTATTCTTGTAGATGCCCTAATTGAATCATCAATTTTTAGTACATGCCCTAATTGATAGATGGCTTACTCACCCGCCTATGAAAATATTTTTTAATTGCCTGTATAAATTATTTTGGAAGTAGTGCACTGTCAACCATAATAACTTTTTAAATGTAACTGTGCAAAAAAACATGCCCAAGTATGGTTGTAGATGGGGAGGTGAGGAACCAGAATGTCCGTACAAGCTATCTGTCTTGGGAAAACTTTATGTTAACATGGTTGTTGGAGACCAAAAAAAAAAAACAACAACGCTGTGAGGATTTACATTGAACAATATGTGTTGTACATTACTTTTGAAGATATATAAACTCCCCATTTTAAGGAGTATACAACAAATTTCAACAAATAAAATGTTACAATTATTTTTTTCCTTCCCATGGATGTGGATATTATGGCCTAGGTGGACAGCTTTTTTTTTTTTTTTTTTTTTTGCGGGGAGGTGGACGGCTATTTACAATAATCCTTTCCCTATATACATATATATATGTACATTGTAATTTTCACAGAGGTTTGAACAACGAATTAGTATTGATAATCCCTGCTCATTTTGGTTCATGGCTTATACGACCAATTTGGACATGCCCTTGCCTGATGAGAAAACAAAAATATACATGTCAGTGTGTTTCTCAAGCCTAATTAACATGCTGATGCTTGCACCATGACAGGTCCTTCAACAAAAACGAACGGAGAAAATCTCATGCTATTTGTATCAATTAGGACACCCAGTTGACTTACTTTTGTGGCAAATGTTTTGAACCCGTACGTGAGGCTGTGAGCACCTTGACCATTGTAGGGCTGCTGGTTGTTGTTCCGAGAAGGTGTAAAACCTTTCGATCCTACATGTGTACACAAGTTGGATGGTCTACAGATTATTTTCAACAAATTTAAACAACCTAGCTAAGCTAGGTAATATGTGTAGCATCGACATTATATATGTATGCCAATTAATGTGTAATAGACTATATATCTACTTGCCAGAAAAGAGTTTCTTGTAATACATCTATCTTAAAATATACGACATTGTTAACTTTATTTTGGACTTTAGTGTAAAACATATGACCACTACCTTTGTCTAATAGAATATAATATAGGGCCTGATCGTTTGGCATATTCATATCCTTATCAGCCAAAATTTAAATTTTCAACGTTAAATTTGGAGCTGATTTTGGGGTTTTTTCATCGAAGTTTATTTTTCAGCCTTTGCTTTTAGATCGCTAAGAACACATATATAAAAGTTTCATGCACAAATTGATTTTCGTTTGCAAATATGCCATTTGGCATATTCAGAAAATATGCCAAACGTTGAGGCTGATAGTATCTAACAACATCATAATATATACTGTAAAAGTACTTGTAATACAAGTCTATCCACATGGATTTTTTATGTTTTTGTACCTAAGAGCTGATGGTCAAAGTTTGAATAGTTTGCCTAAATAAAGCCATAGTAAGATGTACTTAAATCCGGAGGTAGTTAATTACTATATATCAGCCCTCTTCCAGATACACCAAATGTGTTCGTTATATTATTCAACTAACTCGGAGAAAGAAGCAGCAAATTTGGAACAAATTAAGTAGCACGGGATAAGGAATTCATCTGGCTAAACAACAACAAAAAATATTTACGTTCAAAGGTAGAATTCAAAAAGAATCATGTAGTAAATTAATTATGTTTTATTTTTAGAATATTTTTCTCTTTTATACCTGGAAGGTTTGTCACTTCATGATGAATGTCCGCGTGCCTTTTGGATGCTCCAGAGCCACCTTGGGGAGGCACAGAGCTACTAAGTCCTGCAGTAATTAATTATACATCCACGAATTGTTAGAGTGGAATAATATTAGTGAATACCACAAAAACATCGATCCACACAAGTTTGGAAGAATCATACCCTTAGAACTGGACATTGTTCGCAAGGATCTTGTGGAGAAAGCTTCAAGTGATCGAATTTGTTGTTCTGGCCTGTGCTTTTTGTAAGCTTGGCTATCTATATTGCCTTTTGAGCAATTATTTCTGGCTATCTTTGTATGTTTATGTTGCTTATATAGATGACTAGAATTTGCCCTAACGTAATTACGATCGATGTGATGGGAAACTACAAAGAAGTAGCTAGTCACGTAAGCTGTAAGTGTTTTAATTTGTACCTATTAATGTCGTGTTAATCACATGCCATTTTCTTAGTATTATCCCAAATATATGTGTTTAAGAAAACATACATATACATAAGTTCCGCTGTTGTGTACTTGTGTAATCTTGGTTCCCATTTTTTAGACTAGATCTCGTCCTAAAAAACGATTAGAGTGATGAGAGCTTGGAAATTTTACGTGGTGACTGCTGACCATTTGTAGCTATTTCATACACATGTCGGCGATTTTTTCAAAAAAAAAAAAAACAAACCTTCCACGTAACAGAACTACTAAAGCAGTTGACTAACTGATGCAAGGGTGCGCTATATATATTATAGGTTACAGCCTACAGGTATTTTTCTATCCGTTTTCTCTCGCAATCAGACACAACTCAAATGTAAGGAAATCTTGAATGGTGCGAGGAACACTTGCTGCTTCGTAGCCGTATATGTTAATTTTGACGTCGACAACGAGCTAGATTAATTAATTTCCATGCATGGCTCGTGTCGTGTGCAAGCTCTGTGACTGACTACGAAACTGTCAAAAGTTAATTTATAAGGTCGTTCATGATGTTGTTTTTTCCTCCCCTTTTCCATCCAAGAACGCCAGACCAAAAGATTTGTTCAACATCAAGGTGTTGCTATATATGGTCTAAAGTCTAAGGGCATGTTTAGAGGAGCTTTAGATTCTGAGAAGCAGTTGTTTGGTAGCCAGCTTCTGAGAATCTGGAAAAGCTCTAAAACCCAGCTTCTCCAGCTTCTGGCTTCTTAGTTCATTTTTCAGAATCTGTAACTATAGATTACTGTTTGGGGCAGCTTCTAACAGAAACAGCTTTTGAGAAAAGCTACAGCTGGGACAAGCTCCCTCAAACAGGACCTAAACTCTGAACGACCGTTGAATTGGGCTGCATGGATTTTCGTTAATAGGCTGGTGACTGACAAGGCTTTTTTTTTTTTTTTTTGCTCCCGCTAAGCCCATAAAGTCCAGGGCCCAGAGAGCAGTACATTCTCTTAGCCGATGTTGGCATAGGCCAGAGCTTTGGGATTACTGGGCCAAAGATTTCATGGCGTTTTTGCTAGTATGCCACTTGCCAGCATAGACTAGAGGGACAGAGTAGCACGAATGGATACGTTTTTGCCACGAATGTAATCGTGTTTTGCAAGAGAAATTGCTACGAGCCAACGACATAGGGTTGGACAAAAGCACTCCCGTTAGCAATATCGTAACTTATGCTGGATGGGGAGGAGCGCATGCGTGTGGCTGGTGACAGCGCTGGCGCTGCTCCTCTTCTCCGTGCTCGCCGGTTACATTGTACTGCTGTCGAACGAGGCGCCACACTGGCTCCCCATTGTCAGGAGGGTGGACGTACACTGGTGGAAAAAGGGGCTTTCCTTCTAGTTGGGAACCCTCCTATACTCCCGGTTATAGAACCGGGACTATGAATCCGGAACTAAAAATGTCCATCTTTATTCCCGGGTAAAATAACCGAAACTAAAAATCCATCTTTAGTCCCGGTTGGTCTAAAGATGGTGGGAGCAGTCCCGATTGATTTTTTTTTTCTCAAATCGATATGCTTCCTAAATATCCGCAATCACATCCTCAAATCAACCACAAACCAAACTAGCATCACATATCTGGAAAGAAATGCATCACAGATTCTCAAACAAAAAATATATCACAAATCCTAAAAGAAATACACCACAACTCAAATACATCCCAGATCAAATGCAATATCACATACATCACAGATCAAATCCAATCCAATATCACATACATACATCACAGATCAAATCCAATGAATCACATATTAAAAAAAAATCCGGTAGCAGAGGGGAGGGCGCCGCCGGCCTCTCGTCCTCTCGCCTCCACACCAACACGGCTGCTGCCGCTTCCGCCCGGTCGGCCGCCCGGCCGTCGCCGCTCCCGCCTGGCCGCCCGACCGCCCGCCACGCCCGTCGCGCTCGCCCGGCCGGCCGTCGCCGCTCCCGCCCGGGCGCTCGCCGCTCCCGCCTGGCCGCCCGGCCGCCCGCCACGCCCGCCGTGCTCGCCCGGTTGGCCGTCGCCGCTCCCGCCCCGGCGCTCGCCCGCCCGGCCGTCGCCGTTCCCGCCCGGCTGGCCGCCCGCCGCGCTCGCCCGCCCGGCCGGCGCTCCAGAGAGGGGAAAGGGGCGAACGGGAAAGAAAGGGGAAGGGGAGAGGAAGGATGAGATGGGGAATGGAGGGGAGAGGAAGGGATGACAGGAAATATTAATGAGAGGGGAGAGGAGATCGAGAGAAGAGCGAATAAAGATGGCGCGCGCGGTTCGAGTTGCTCTTTCTTCCCGGTTGGTATAAACAACCGGGACTAAAAATATATGTTTAGTTTTGCTTACCTTTTCCGTCCACCAGCGTCATTTCGCTTTCATGATGTTGTTTTTTTGCTTATCTTTTCCGTCCAAGAACGCTTGTTACGTTCAACATCAAGAACGGCAAGTCAATACAATTCTGAACGACCGTTGAATTAGGTTACTTAGCTTAGTATTGTTATGCTGGAATTAATAAATGGCTCCTAGCCCATTTGAAGATTATTTTTTTCAAATTACAAAAATCCATCTCATGAGATTGCATGCATAGAGATTTTAGTTGTACCTTGCTTATTTTATGAGAGGAGACCTCCTTTAAAGAGATAGTGCTCTCCTAGCCAATTGAGATATGTGTGGTGGTGAGAATTAGAGGGACATGTGCGCGCTCGCTTGCCTGTACGTGACAGCGTGTCACGCCCAGAATTTCTATCCAAAATTCCAAACGCTTACATGTGTGTGAACCCTCGTCCAGGAATCAGCCGAGGCACACAATAACAAATTGATAATAGAGTACAATTATTACTCTAATTAATAAGCGAATAAAATGTCATTACAGAGGTAGATAGTTCCTCTCAATCAATAAAAATCTAAGTAGCGGAAAATAAATTAAACGGCGCAGACGGCTCCACTCCACAGGCAGCTTGACCAAGGCTACACCTAATCCTCCACACCATCAGCCTCATTGTAGAACTCTTCCTCTGATGAATGATTGCAAGGTGAGTATATGACATACTCAGCAAGCCACGCAGCAAATATGCAAGTGCACAGGATAACAAAGGATGGCATAATATAGGGCTCATTTGCAAAAGCAGCATTTAGCAAACATTTGAGAATTTAATAAAACAGTTAAGTAATTAAACAATATTAATCCAACACTATACAACATACCCTGTTGTATAGGCCCAACCATTCTAAACAACCATCCCGGCTGCACAGTTCTATCTCCAAACCAGGAATGTACCATTCCAAACCAGGAGCTAATCAAATTATTACCAATTTAAGCATCTTTTACTATGGTGAGAAGGGTGAGACTAATCACGAAAGACATTGTTAGACCCGCCCATAACCGCGGGCACGGCTATTCGAATAGTTTTACTCTGATCAGAGGTGTACCACTGTACCCACAAGACACAACCCCACATCATGTCACCATGTGCCTCAATACCACCACGGTACCTCGGAAAGGAGTTGTGACAATACCCCTTGCATAACACAATCCACTGCAGCGCACCTTCCTGGATCATAATCACCCCCTTATAAACAAGGCATGGACTCCCCAGCGACCTCCGTGGGCTTATCTCCGCCACTTCTCAGTCTGGTGCCCCGCAATGAACCGTGCTATACAAAAGATAAAGCCGTTGCCCATGCTGGCTTGTGGTTGGCACGATAAATGTTTCACAACCGAAACTCGTGAACCGGTCCTTAATTGTCATGAGCACGACCAACAAAACCATGTGCTCACAACCCACCATTATCAGGTTTTAGTTGGCACATTAATTAATTAACTAATCACGATCGACCATCGTAAACTATCATTAAGCCATCATGAAATAATAGTGAATCATTAGTTATCCCATAAGTGTGCTAATGTTTCTAAGCGGGGCTAAGCAATTATATCTAATATCTAGTTGAACCAATATACATAAAGCTCAACTAGTCAAATTATTATAACCCAAGGTATCAAGGAATAAAGTAATCAAGAACAAAAGGGCTATAACAAAGAATAGGTTAATTCCACCCAATGACATTTGAAAATAAATGCAATAGTTGAAAATAAACAGTAGCTTTAAATCGGATCAACATGCTCAAAGGGTTGTTTGGGATCTATGTGACTTGCCTTGCTGGCCTTGGAACTCTTCAAACTCTTCTCCGGCGAAAACGGACTCTCCGGAAACGACGGAATCTAAGCAAAAAGAAGCAAAATCACCAAAACAGCACATAAACAAGCATGAACAGTACATGTGGATATTTTTAATGTGTAGATCTCAATTTTAGAAAAATTTAGAGACTTGAACCAACTAAATCGGAGCTAAGATGAATTAGTTATGAATTTTTGAAGATTAAATCGGATTAAAACACTTAAATCGGTTAAAATTGAATTATGACGCAATAATGAATTATTTTTGAAAAGGAAAAGAAGGTTTATTGCGTCAGCGGCTAGGGTTTTGGTGGACCGGGCGCACGGGCGGCGGTTCACGCGAACGGACGGCCGAGATCGATCCAATCCAAAACGGACGGCCGAGATCGAACGGTCCACGACCGGCTCACGGCGGACGACCCCGATGACGTCGGCAATGACGTCACCGACAGCGGCGGCGGCTCGGCGGAGCGGACGGCTCGGACGGCGCACGCTCGCCGGCGAACGGCGGCGCTAGGACGCAAACGGAGGGCACCAGCACGTAGAGGACGACGCGGCGAACACACCGGTGACCAAAACGGCGGCGAAAGAACAACGAACGACGACGGCGACGAGGAGGAAACGGCGGAAACCTTCGGGTTGACAACGGCGACGAAGCTCCGGCGATCTCCGACGGCAGCGAAGG